CACACACACACACACACACACACACACACACACACACACACACACACTCCCCTCCCTTCGTTCGCGTTCTCTTTCCCTCGGCCAGGGAACGCGCCACGCGGAAATGCAAGCTGGTGAATGCTGGTCGCGCGTACTCGGCAGAAAATCGATTCATCGGCGCACGAGCAACTCGATTTGAAATCGAAGCGGTCGCGAGCCGCACCAGAACAGGAAGTGACCTGGTTTCTGGCCCGTGCAGGATACTCGATTCCTCGACAGGAATCCACGATTTTAGGATGGGAAAGATCTTCTAGCCGTTTCTGCTCGAACTTGACAGTCAAACCATCGAGTTAGATTGATTTCACTACTTCACAAGCAAAGCGTCGTTTCTATTAACGCTGAAATTTCCAAGTCGGACAATTTGCCCATATTATGGCTACGTTTTCCCATATTTACACTTGCCATAAATACATAAACGTGACCAATTTAATCCCCAATATCATATACATATATACATTCATATGACGGAGATATGTGTCATTGGGATTTTCTGTATACGTATATAGTCGGTCTCGTAAGTGTACCATCTCTTTGTCGAGACAAATTTCTTTGATAGACACACGGCGCGGCGTGTGAATATTATTATATATACAGATGGGGTATATACAGAGTGTACATAATTATAACGAACCATTCGTAATTATAAAACTTAATTTGACCAAATTTTGTTGAACATACATAAAGGGTATACTTATGGGACTGACCGTATACATACATACGAAAATCCCAATAACGCATATCTGCGTGATTCGAAGCCGAAAAGCGTGAAACGAGCAATCGTAGCACGCGAGTGATACCAAGCCCGTACTCCCTCGATCTAAGCGCGAAATTGCTGATAGGACGAGGCTAAGGAAGAGAAAGGGAGAGAGAAAATCGTGGCTGGCTCGGGTGTCGGAATCGCCTCCGGTGGATCAGCCTTGATCCTGTTTGCCGGCTGCCAGGTGAGCCAGGAACGCGTGAAAGTGGTACCGTGACCTTTCCGGGCTGCACTTGGTACCGCTTCGACGTTGACCTTAGCACGAGTTTCGGCGTTGCCTGGACGAACGAAAGCACGAGCCACGCGAAAAATAAACGGGCCTGCGACTGTGTGGGACCGGGCCGGTCACGTGTCGCGCGCGATGGCAAGGTCGTTAGCATGGGGAACGAGTTTTCAGCAGCCGTGACGAGGTGTCGACGAATTCAATTTTCACGTCGACTCGCGACGCGTCTAATCGACCCACGTTCCCAAAAAAAAACAATCGCTCGATAGAAACGAATCGATTTTTATCCCCCCGACGACTCTAGTCTCGTTGAGATAGTTGTTTCGAACAATCGTGATACACGAGAAACGATGGTGGTAAAAACCATATATGTATGTAATATATGGCAAAACGCTGACGGTTACCGCGCAACTTCTCTACGTTCAGTTTCGGATTTGAATGAATTATATGTCGGTAACGCGACGGTCAATAATTGTTATTGTACTTTTTTTTCAAGTGGTTTATAATTTTGATTTTAATAACATATTAAATGTTCAGCAAGTATTTAAATTGCATCTTAATTTAAATTGAAAAAATTCATGTGAAAATCTGTATGTCCCGTAAGGGTCTGTGTTAAAATTACATCGTTACATTTGTATCAGTTTTCGTAAAACTAGAGTGGTAAATTTAAGTCGATATAGACTCCGATGACTTATGTTCGATCAACGAACGATCGAGTCAAGTTTGTTTAAAATCCACCGTTAAATACATAGATCCACGGAACAACTACCTTAAATTCGTCGAGCGTTCCGCGATCGAAGGAGGGGATTTGTTGTGCGCGGCATGTTACGTAACCGGTAGACGTCGCCGCTTTGAATAATTAAAAATGAAGATCGAGGAGATATTTGACCACCGGGAACGAGTTGGCTCGACGGGACACGTCCAATTAATTCCGATCGATGGGAACGGTTAAAGTTTGAACCTCGTGTCCCCTGCAAACGTTTCGTTATCGACTGCTATTGACTAATAATCGGTATTCTCGAAGGAACCGAATCGTTGTTTGCGAAAGATTTCGAAACAAGGAGGGAAGAAATGGGTAAAAGAAAGTGCCTTACAGTTCTCCTTGTTCCCGCCGAAGAGCTGATGGTATCTGGCAAAGTTTGGCCGCGAATCGAAGTGGTGTCCTTTGGTGGTCAGCACTTCTCTGATGTTCTCCAGACCGCTCACGACCACGCAGGGCATAGATCCCATTCGAAGTTTGATCACCTGGCAGTCGTAGTCTTTGACGAGGTCGGCGAAGGCTTTGTACGGCACGTCGTAGCGTCCCAGTAGGTGCAGGGAGCCAAGAATCGGCCAGGGTTTCGGTCCAGGTGGTTCCGGTAGGGCGTCGTTTCCAACGTCCAGGATGACCTCTTTCGAGGATTTCTTGGATGTCAGGTGATCCAGCAGGATGAGCGCGAGGGCCAACAAGGTGACAACGACGAGAAAACACGTGGTGGCTGTCAAAGGGATCATCTCGGTGGCCGTTTTTCCTCGGTGTACTCACAACGTTCCTTGCAGCGGGACCTTTTGCGGTTGTTAGAGTTGCTGGGTACCCCGACCTACGGTACCTGGGTCACGAGGAAATCTCGGTCGGCTGAGGAGCGGTGGTGGTCGATGGCCGGAAATCTAATGGCCACCGCGAGCGTCGACACGGGATCGTTTGGCGAACGCGACTGTTTCTCGCGAAAATCAACGGCGATCAAAGGAGCCCAAGGGAATATGGCTAAGCGTTGAATTCGACAGGAAGCTTCGATCCTCGACGAAACCGAAAATACGGATGTGTCACTTTCTCCTGGCTGGGTCCAAGTCGAGTGCGGAATTACGACGGTATCGTGCGCGGTATCGACCGGGATAACCCTAAAATCGGTTTGGTCGCGGTGCCCGTGAACGAAATGTCATGTGTCGCGTCTAGTGTGTATCGGTAGATCGGTTCGTTGGTCCGTCTGTGAACAGTCTGCCGATCTGACTCGGTCTGTGGGGATAGGATGGTTGGCCGGCTATCTTATATAGCGGCGTAATGTAGTCAGCACATTTGCGTCGCCTGTGCGCCTCAACCCCATACATATGGATTCGTGTTGAGACGAGGGCAGAAGGGGGAGGAGGTGGTCTCTCTGTCGTACTCTGTCGTAAGTGTATACAACCCGGTGTGTTGCTGGTGTTGCTGGTGCTGCTACCGCTGGTAGAGAGACGAATTTCAAGAAAGCACCGAGAGAGCCAACTCTCCAACTCGCGTTCGTGTGTGGAACGGGAGAGCCCGAAGAAGAAGGGCTGGAAAGGTGGAGGGAGCGGACGGAGGGATGATAGAAGGTGTGGAGGGGAAGGAGGGAGATCCAGAAAGGTGAAGGGGCTGGAGGAGCAGGGGATTCCACAAGAGATACAGAACAGGCACGGGGAGGGGGTGGACGCCGCTTGGAGTGGGGTCCAAGTAGGGCCCAAGCTGGGCCAGACTGGGTAACGAAGGGACGCTTCTTGCCCTTGACTTCTCTCCTTAAGGTGCCATCGGGTTTTCTGGCAGCAAGGTGGTGTGTGCCTCCAGTCCAGCGAGCACCTCGTGAGACCGGCTGCGCTCCCATCCAGACACGCTTCATTCCGCTTTTATTTCGATGTACTTGACGTTTATCGATTCGGGACGCCACTACGGTTCATCATGCTTCCAAAGTAGCCCTTCGCTCGCGGCAACGGCTCCCGAAAACCATTCGTTTTTCACGGCCCGGGACGTGCTCCCGCGCGCATGCACGCGGCCGGTCGTTAGTGGTCTTTTCGATGGGCCTTTTAGGGCCAGCCTGGTGACGGACGAAAGGGAGACGAAGAAAAACCAATCGCGAGTTCTCTCGTTCGCCATTTACAAAGGAATTTGGCCAACTGGAAAACTGGAGTAAGCTACGCTTTCGCCTTCCGTTCTCGCTCCTCAACGCTATCGGACCCACGACTCCAAGGGGGCCTCGCAGAATAATCGTCGACCGACTCGAACGAAATCAGTGTCGAAAAGATCGAAATCGGTTCGAATATTCTTTGGTATTCGTTGGAAAATCCAGGAATGGCTTGGAACTATTTAAACAAGTGTCGAAAAAATCGAAATTGTTTCGAATGTTCTTTGATGTTCGTTCAAGGTCTGAAGCAAACTAAATTCAACCAGTATATCGAAAAACCAACAAGGTTCTGTAACCAACCGCGTGTAGTTTCATTCAATTTCATTAAACACGTTTCACATAAAACAATATACTCGAGGGAATGAGAAACAACATTCGAAGCAACCTCGACGAAAACGAAGAGAGAAGAAGAAGCAAACCTGTGACAGGTCTCTATATTCTTCAACTTTCGTCCAAAGCTTTGCGAAGCCGTTCTAGTTCGTTCATTCTGTGTACATTTACCTTTGCGGATTTTATGACGTCGTTGATGCGATATTTCTACTATCGACCATAGAGAAAATCGAACGATCTTGAATCTGAAATTTCCTCGCAGGATGTTGAATGGAAGTTGCGCAATGCTGTGGCGAGCAGTTTCCCAGCGAACGCGTTTGCCGCGGACGATGAAAAACGGGAAAAAGAATGCTTTTCATTGATGTTTCGTTGTGATGCAATCAGAAGACAGAGATCGAATCTGTGAATGACTGCGTAGTTACTACAAATATCGAGCAACGAATGTCGACGGGATTGTATTATAAATCAAGGAAAAGCGTGCATAGTCGTAACAGAATAAATTTTAACGAAAGTTGTCGCGAAAGTTGTCAGTTGTCGTGATTTTTTCTTTAAACGAATCGATGTGACGTATCGACGAAAAATGATGGCATTACTAGATACGAGAAAAATTACAGTGATTGTACGAGTCGTGGATATCAGATTCGATTGCCAGTCAGCTGAACCGATCTGCTGAATTATTGCAAACGCGTGACCGTCGTTACGTCTCTGAACTGAATATGAATTTCTTCAACTGTAAAGTTTCGAGGTGGTAACGATTGTAACGTTTCGTTGGGCGACGTTTAAAGTTCGACTATTGAATTTCGGGATCGTTAGGTCTGATTGCGAGCTGGCTAGGTGTTCATTCGATCGCTTGTCGAGGAAGTAGTTGATTTTCTAGTAAGTTCCAGAGACATTCGCGACTGGGCTGTCAACATTGAACGCGACGATCATAGTAGGTCAGTTCGGTAGAATCGAATTTAAGCAAGACGCAATTACTTCAGACGTTGAATCTACCTGGTCCACTTTTCTGTTCGAGAACATTCAAGTGGAACGGTTCGAATTGCCAAACAGCTTCTGAGAGCCCGCAAACGTCGGCTGAGACTTTTGTATATCTGTGAGAATCTGTCGCCTGATCAACGAGTGTTTGTAAATCGTTTATTCTTCAAAAATGAACTGTTGGAATTCCAGAAGAAGGAGTATAACGATTAAGATTGCAAATCAAATCCGAGTTCCGAGGTCCGAATTACGATTACGATTACTATTACGATCGTAATTTTTTAGGTGTTTTCAGACATAGAAATTTTGTACGGTTTGGTGTTGCTCGCGTCAAAAAAACTTTGAAAAATCATGCTTTCGACGAAATCAAAAATTACAAATTTGCAGTTGAAATCATTCATGTCCAAAGGGCCTATAGATAGGGTAACTTTGAAATCTTTTATTTCGACGAAAGCATGGTTTTCCAAGTTTTTTGGAGCGAGGAACACGTATCTGAAGTCGGTTTTTATGTACAAAATTTCGATGGGGTTACAGGGATGGAGAGTAGGGACACTCGGGGAAGCGCTGAAAGCTCGGACACGAGAAGGACATCATCGCGTTATCGGTCCGCGATGGCGATGAGGAAGCGCGCGACGAGGAGTACACCTCGAATTCGTTTGAATCGATGAATAAAACATGAGCTGGTGGTGTTGGCTATACGTGCGACTTCCCCCCTCCTCCCTCGCCGACGGCGATTCCACGCCCTCTGTCGCGGGGCAGTCTTTTTTCCCCTCTCGCGCGGTGCGACAGTAGGAGATTGCTTCATCCGTATCGAGAGGCATTATCGAGCGTCGATTTCTGGGAAGCTAGCGGTACCGGCCTCTGCCCGCCAGCTCGAAATCAGCTTAGAGAGGAGGCGCATAACGGGAAAGCTCTCGACTCTCCTGCTCGACCCGAAGCTCCTTTTTATCGGCCCTTCTCTCCCTTCCTCCCCCTCCCCCGATCTCTGTGCGCGCGGAATTTTTCATTTCGCTTTCGATCGAGTCGAACGCGACTGTATGGACTACAAGTGCATGGAGGAGCGATATGTCGCTTCTTGCCACGAATCGGTGTGAAAAGGGCTTGTATGTAATTTTCGTAACCTCGTTTATGTTTTATTTATTAGTCGAAATAATTATTTAGATACGATCTTTTTACCATCCCTGCCTGCAGATTCGCGTTTGTGCTTTCGACGAGCTAACGTGTCCAAAAGAGAACAGGGAACGCCCGACGGCTCGCTTTCGATGGGATAAAAACGGTACCAATTGAATGAAAATGTTTACTGCTGCAAAGCGGATTGAAACAGGCTGGTCCTCGGCAGCTGCGTGCGAAATAAAATTGCCTGCCAGCTATTATCTATTAAAATATCCCCAGTCACGCGAGGGCCGTCCTCTCCGTGCGAACGTGGTACCTGAAGAGCTTCCCGCGAGACTGCCAAAAAGTTTGGAAGAAAATTGTATTTCTGACAACTGCCACTCGATGGGGAAACAAACAAACTGCTCTCAAGGTTCTCGATCGCTTCAATAGACAATAGACGATACAATCATTTTACGTTAGGTGCAAGAAGTTCGTTAAATATTTTTTCGAAATCTCTTTGAGTTGCTAATTCCTCCTACCTAGACTATCTGTGTGCATTAATTCCTGTATAAAATCATTTTACCTGCAACGAGTTCCTCGAACATTCTATAGGTAAAATGTCGAGCGGAAAGGGTCAGTCGTCAAAGAAGACCTTCTTCTGGATTAATTTGGTTACCTCGGTCCACTCGAGGAGCGAGAAAGCAGCGAATGAAAACGATGTGCAAGAGAACGGAAAGAGAAGGGGCTTGAGTTTCGCGTGACAACGATTCGTCCACGTGGCTGGGTCGGAATTAACTGGAATCGTCGATGGGATTCGCAGAATACGGCCGTCTTTTCACGCGATCCAGCAGCTCGATCTTGATCCCACGCAGCGGAACGCCTTGGGCACACGGAATCTCAAGATCGCGGCGCGTCCGCGAAATGCGAATCGGCGACGACTCACGGGGAGGGTCGAGAGGTGAGACGGATCGATTCGATCTGTTCTGGACGAAGGTCCCGCGTCGACCAAAATCAAGGCTTCGTTCGACAACGAAACGATACCGGATGTCTTGGTTTATCCTTTATGCCGCGTCCGCGCCCGCGCCGCACCGACGAGCCGATTTACGTAGCAGGTTTTATTTTTGTCGATTGCGCGACAAATCGCCGATTTACGGTCGCAAATTTACCGCGAGCTTTGCGATCCAAGTTTCGCGCACCTGGGTCCCTTGACGTAAATCGAACGGCGATGCTGTTGGATGCTTTGGAAAAGAAAGGATCGAGCGATCGGTTAGGTACCATTTATGGAAAATTCTGTGTCGAATTTGTACCCTTTTAGAACATCATTCGCAGTGTCGAGCATAGTAAAAGGTCACTGTTGGCTCGATTGTTCTAGCAAGAAGAGTGAATCCGACGAAAGTGAGACAATCGAGCCGTCTTGATGACACACTTTTCCGAAAGTCCCAACTCCGACGACCGAATCGCACTGATGCAATTAAATATCCACCTCGTTCGTAGACCACCTATTACAACAGAAAAAACGTGTGTTTCTCAATTCACGGGATTAAAAAAGAATGAAAACGTGACGGTATCTTAATCGGCTCCTTCGTTCGAAAGATACCGAGGCACGTCGAGGAAATAAGTTAGACCAAAAGGGAATCTCTACATTTATTTTTGGAACATTTGAATGATAGCACCGTCGACGTTGTCGTAGATAGATGGCGGAGATAAGGGGCCACGTTTGGTATTCGTATTCCTTGATACGAAGGCGACCAGTGCCGAAAATCAAGGTTGCCCGGATTAGCAATGAATAAAACCGACAGACGGTGGCTCTTCTGCTTCGCGATAGACCGTGAAGCTGCCCTCGTCCTTTTGCCAAGGTTTTCGGGACAACAGAAACTGGAGCTCGGCGACCATCAATCGTTCTCAAGCTGGATAATCTGAAACGAAACATGCTCTGATAAAACAGCTGCTCGAACAAGCCTCTAAAACGTAAGAAAAAGCTTAAAATGTTAAATTATCATCAAATACCTAACGATATTGCCATATATGATTGAATCGATATTGTTAAAAAAAAA